ATTATTATTATTATTAGTATTATTAGTATTATTATTAGTATTATTAGTATTATTATAGTACATCTTTCCCGCCTACAGCCGGGTACCCATTCCCACTTCGATGAAATGAGGAAAAATCATACAATATACCTCTTCAGTCACAAAGCACAAACGGCACTTCTGTTCTTTGCAACTACTCTAAATCAGTCTTGAATTCTGAGCTCCAAATACGTCTCGGGTATAGAGAGATCTATATCTAGAGTCTTATCCTATATAAAAAAAACTACACACCAAATAAGTGCCCCATTTTGAAAACGTCAATACAACGAAGTAAACATTTTGTGGGTCTAAACGAACTCAACGTGTTGGGGACATGACTACACGAATGTATCTAGAAAAAGTCAATACAATGAACTTTGGCCTGAAGTATCCATCGACACTGTGAGGCACACATCCAAATAGAGTCGGATATCGAGATTCTAGATCTGGAAAAAGCAGATGAAGCTCTCTCACACAAACGATGAAGCACGGACCGAAACGGAAGTAGTCCCCGGTAAAATATGAAATGGCTAAAGGTAGAGTAAAAATATCCGAGAGCTTCGATTTACAGGAAAAACCTTTAAACCTGAAAAATAAAAATGTAGTTTCCGAACTTTGAAAAATATGTTCACGTAACCTTTTGGGAAAATTCGTAAATGAATCATATTTTTGTAGATTTAATGGCCACCAGTTTAAAACGTGTATACTGACCCCACAAGCGGGCTTAGCTCCATTATAATAAGATTATCATCAACATAGTATTTATCGACCAGGAGAAAGTGTTCGACGTAGTGAAGAGAAACAAGCTGTAGAAAGAACTTGAAAACTACACTGTAAGAGGACAACTTCTAGACAACATCCGTGCCATTTACGAGAACAGCATAAGTACAGTAAGAACGTCAGAGGGACTCACAGAATGGTTCGAGATAACATCCGGAGTAAGACAAGGTTGTGTCCTATCACCACTACTGTTTATCATATGTATGGATAGAATTACAAAAGAGGCCAACACAGAACCAGACACCCGAAATGAATTTCTCTTCGCTGATGACCAAAGCCTGACACACAAAGATGAACGAAATCTCCAACACCACGCCACCAGATTAAACGAAGAATGTAACAACTACGACATGAAGATCAACATCAACAAAACAGAGACAATGGAAAGTCAGAACCACTCAGGATACACCTCAACAACAACAGTCTCAGACATGTCCAAGAATTTAAGTACCTCGGAAGTATATTTACAGAGGATGGGCGACTGAACAGAGAAATTGAAACACGAGTACAAAAGGCCAATAATGTTAGTTACCAGCTTACTCCAGTACTGAAACATCCTAACATCCCCATGACAACAAAACTCAAAAAGATCAACACCATATTCATCCCAACACTCACCTATCAATGCCAAACATGGACCATGAACAAGACATTAGAGCAAAGAATTACAACACGTGAAATGCAATGCCTTAGAAAAGCAGTAAACAAGATCAGGCGAGACAAAATTAGAAACTGTAATCCGAGAAATGGTGGGCACAAATGATGTCATGCATCACATCCAACACCAAAGAATCAAATGGTTCGGACATCTCCTACGATTACCAACACACCATCCAGCACAACGTGCCTACCTCCAAAAATTCGATGGCAACACGGCTATAGGGCGACCGAGAAAGACCTGGATAGATGGAGTCAGGGAAACATTAAACACCCACGGCATCCCCGTGACCCAAGCTCTCCGGCTGGCGACAGAGAGACGCCTCTTTCTTCCCGCGACACCCAAAAGGGTATAGGCGGCGGATAAAAGTAAAGTAAAGTAAGTATCATTATAATAATTACAGTGGCGAAGCGTCTATATAATCAAATAATCAATGCTTCCCTTCCTAATTTTGAGACATTGTTGCAGTCAAATTCACCCATAAACGTAAACCTCATAAATCAAACGTAAAAAGACGTTCATAATCACCAATGAACAGTATGCCTAACATTCATAACGGTTTCATTGCCACAGAATTAGCCTGTTCACCCCTTTCGAGCCACTCTATAAGCAGTCACAAGCTTTGATTAAGTAAACTTAAAGTGAAGCTGGAAGAGTCTACCAAAAGAGTTGAAGGGAACATGTACACAGCACTCAAAGCTGTTTCATTGCCACATATACCCTCATGTTCACCCCTTTCGGGCCACAGTCATAAGCAGTCACAAGTACTGATTATGTAAGCGAACTATTACACTGGTCGAATCTACCTCACAAATGTGAGGGGAACAAGGACATTAAAACTGTAACATCCTTGGAGAGAAACTAGCTCCAAATAATCTCTTGACTGCTGCGAGGGCTAGTTTTTTTTCCTCGACTTTTTACCGTCCTATAATCAGATCGTGACCTCGATTAACACCAGCTCCTGGCCGCGAAAAGCTAGACAAAAAACAGCCAAATGTGAAATAAAAAAATGACAATTGTCATGTTCTACCAAAAAGCTTAAATTCAGTGGTATTACATGTAATACTAACATCTCGGCTTCTTTGATTTGTGTTTGTGTTTTGACATCTAAAGTTAAATTTAATTTTAGTTAGAATAATATTTAATGACATACTTTCCCGATTATTTTGGGAGTTGCACAATACAATAATAATGAATTCAGAATTTCTTATCATTCACATCTCAGTGTTGCCGCCTGGAGTAAGATTCGTGTGTGATATCTCCAGGCCCTACCTGGTCCCGTCTCACTTTGATTACCCTTTCAAACAAGTCGTCCTTCCCCCCTGATTATTATTATTGTTATTATTATTATTATTATTAT